GAGAATGAAATATGTTCAACTATTCCAAATGCGTTTTGGGATATAAAGAAACATGTGGTTTCTCTTCCTTATACTTCAAATTTTCATGAATCAAATATTCCTACAAAAGCACATCATATTCAAACGAATAAAGATCTCATTGATCATTGTACTAAAGAAATTCAAGATCTCCTTAATAAAAAGCTAATAAAGTTAAGCAAATCACATTGGAGCTGTTCAACTTTTTATGTCAATAATTCTGTTGAAATTGAACGAGGAATTCCTCGTTTAGTTATCAATTATAAACCTCTCAATTCTGCTCTTCAATGGATTAGATATCTTCTACCTCAAAAGAAAGATCCGTTAAACAGATTATTCAAAAATGTTATCTTCTCAAAATTTGATATGAAGTTAGGGTTTTGGCAAATTCAAATTAAAGAAAAAGATAAATACAAAACTGCTTTCAATGTTCCTTTCGGTCAATATGAATGGAATGTTATGTCATTAGATCTTTAAAATGCTCATTCAGAATTTCAAAAAATTATGAATGATATTTTCAATCCATTTCAAAATTTCATTATTGTTCATATTGATGATGTTTTAATCTTTTCAGAAAGCTTAGAACGACATTTCAAGCATTTACATACATTCATACATGTTGTAAAACAAAATGAATTAGTTGTTTTAGCTAAGAAAGTTGTTTTATGTCAAACTAAGATTATGTTCCTAGGGCATACTATTCATTTAGGAACACTTACACCAATTCAAAGAAGTTTAGATTTCACAAACAAATTTCCTGACGAAATCTTGGACAAAAATAACCTTCAAAGATTTCTTGGTTATGTCAATTACGTAGGAGACTTTATTAAAGAGATAAGGATCATGTGTGCCCCTCTTTTCAAAAGACTGCAAAAGCAACTTGACTCATGGAGTCACGAGTGTACCTTAGCAGTTCAAAAAATAAAAAAGCCATCAAAAGCATCCCGTGTCTATCAATCCTTGACCATAATGCCTCTATTATTGTTGAGAAGATGTGTCAGACTTAGGGTACGGTGGTGTCCTCAAGCAGATCCCTTCAAATTCAAGCCAAGAACAATTAGTCATATTCCACTCAAGTGTTTGGACTGATCCTCAAAAGAACTATTCCACAATCAAAAAAGAGATTCTTGCAATCATCATTGTGATTTCAAAATTTCAAGATGATTTGATCAATAAAAAATTATTTTAAAAAGAAACTGTAAAGATTCAAAAGATATTTTGCAAAAAGACGTAAAAAATCTTGTTTCAAGACAAATTTTCGCAAGATGGCAAGCAATTCTATCTTGCTTTGATTTTCAAATTCTATATATACAAGATTTTTCAAACTTTCTTACAGATTTCCTTACAAAAGAATTCTTACACAACAAAGTATGTGAAAGATGAGTTCTTCAGAGAAAAAGAAGAACAAAAAGAAAGTTCAAATTCCCCTCAATTCAGTCGATGATTATATTCAAAATTCTTTTAGAGAATTCAAAGAAGCATCCTCTAGTTCTCAAAATACCACACTTGCCTCAAAGATTTTTGAAAAACCCACTCAAATGATTCCAGAAAACAAACCCTCAAATTACCGAAAAGCCCTTCAAATAGAATAGGCTCTAATTTCCATTTTCTCCCATCAAGCATAAAAAAATCTCGTGAGTATTATGAAGGAATCCTCATCAAAATAGGATCAGCTATCATCACTCACACTCCAAACAACAAAAATTCAAAGCATATTGATTTTCAAAAATATATATCCAAAGGGTATGGTCTTTCGAAGACTGGGGACTGCACCCTTTGGAAGGTAAACGAATGAATATTTCAAAAACAGATTCATTCAAATCAAAATTCAATTATTTGGACTACAAAGAGGCGTGGTTCAATATTTTCTTTTTCAGTTCAATGACACATTCCTAGTTTATACTTCTTCATCAAAAATGTCCATCAAATGGTCTCAAAATTGGTTCAAGTTGTTTGGACTTAACAAGACGATTTTGTCCAGTCTTACTCGCCAAGGATTCGAAAACTTCAAAAAAGAGGTAAAAACCTTTTTAAAGCATCAATAAAACCTTTTGTTCCAATTTGCTCACAACCTCAAAGTTTTGTGGATATTCTATTAGGATTTCCACTTAATTCAAAATCCACCAGAGTATAAAGAATACAATGTCAAAAGAATTGTCAGACGTTTCAAAATAAAATGGTGGTCAAAATTTCGTGAAACAAATTGTTGTCCCAAAGCAGTTAATTCATGGATTCAAGAATAAATGAATCTTGGTATTCCAAAATTATCTCACAAAGAATTCGACTAAAAAGCTGATTTCCTTGTAGAAAAATCTAGGCTTTTAGCAATGTTCTACACCAGAAGAACTTCAAATTGTATCAGACAAAATTGCAGCTCTTGCAGAGGCATCCTTAAAGAAATCTAGCCCAAATTATTCTTCTTCAGATTCAGAAGATTATGAACAAAGCAATGAAGACGTGTTTGGTTATAATATTGACGATTTAATTGAAGAAGAAACTCAAAGAAATTCCCCATCAAAATGACTACATGGACCCAATTTTCTTGATGATCTCAGAAATTATCGGGTTTAAAAATCAAAAGAAATGTTTTTCAATATTTGTCTGCCAGCTAACAAATTATTCTTGTTAGCCTTGCCGACATACAAAGGACAAACAACTTTATTAAAGCCACTTTAATAAAGCATCTTTCAAAAGCCGGGAAGGAATGACGATTATTTCAAAAGAAGACAAGTGGGCAAACAACACATGGGAGACAAATTCAATCAATCAACTTTTCAAGATTCTTTTGTTCAATTCAATGTAATTTCAAGTCCGAAACCTCAACTATATATTGAGGATGACATTGGGTTCTCAATCTTTTTTTTTTTTGTTATGATTAGTTAATTATATTTTCCGATGAGGGCGTGAAAGAAATATTACCTAATGCTTGTTTTGATTGTTCCTGGAAGGAGGATTTCTTCAGGGAGATGTTGATCTTGATGAGGAAATTGAACTACATCCTCCTACCTCGAGCTTTTTCTCGCATTCAGCACTTGTTTGGCTCCCTTATTTAACTCTTACTTACCTTTTTTCACTTATTGAGCAGGATTTTATAGTCGATTTGTAACTTCTGAATGTTAAATACACCCTTTGAATGATCTCGTAGTTCCTATGGGTGGTTCAGTATTCGTGATGCTTACTGTTTAGGTTGCTTGCCCTGTAAGGGAACTAACCTAATTATCCATAAACCCTATGTTTGGCTTGTATAAAGTGCCTTAAACTTGATTAAATGTTCTCTAAGCTTTATGATGATTCAAGGTGAAAAGAACACTGCCAAGATATTCTCAGGCTATGTATTGGATTGTCTTGAGACGCGAATTGTGTCGATTCCTACTCTCCAGGTCCATAGACTTTTATTAATTGGAAAAAATTACGCAATTGGACCTCGTTAAGGTTATATCTCTTATTTTTCATCATTGAAATCAGTATTTCTTATGCCAATCAGATCAGATCACTATTTCAGTAGCATTTCACCCATCAGAAAAGTAAAATTATACTCAGTCGTCAAGCGGCATACTGGGAAGAGAAGATTCGCTGCACGTCACTGAGGTAAAAACCAGTTTTAATCTTCAGTTTTACCTATGTACCATCGGTGAAAATTTCAAAAATTTCACAGTGGGAGTAAGGAACTAAACAGAATATTGCCTAAAAGATCACGACTTTCGACATTAATCAGTAGAGAAGAATTCACAGGTTTCAGTGCTTTACCGAGGACCACAGGTGTAGTGCCAGAATAACACAAGACACACAATTGACATTTCCTTGAAGATAGGTACGTATTAGAGTTTTTCAAGCCACAAATGTGTAGGAGACAATGTCCAGACAGATTCGACTGTAACGCACAAGGAAAAAAGGGTCCAGAATGAGACAAGTCAAGTACAGCTTCTAGCATACAACCAAACCCCTCCCAACCCATGTAATTGAATGGTTAGAGATTGCCACAACGAAAGCAAACACGAGTACCAAAATGCAAAGCATGAATGAAATTTCAAGAATTTGATGATTCCTACAACAAATTGTGCAAGCGTAAAGATTCATCACAGTGCATAGCTCTAAAAGAAAGTAAATCTTCCAATGAAGTTTCCATCATTACAAACGCTAATGCCGTAAGAATATCAACTCAGACAACATATAGTTAATGGTGAAATCAAGATAAACAGCAAAATGAAGACCAATTGATTGCAATGACCATCAATACTTAATACATATCTAGACAACAAATAGTGCATAGGCTCGTATGAAAAGTATTCATTCTGTCCACATTGAATATTCTAGATGGCTAGTGCGCTATAGTTTATATCTTAATAAAGATTTTAACAAAACTTTAGAATATTATTGTTATTATCTTCTGAATGCCCTAGAAATAGACACGACCAATAAAATAAGCAGAACAATTTTAAAAGAAACATTGTGTTACGTCCAACCTTTGATCGCTGCTGCTTTGTTACCATTGAACTTTGAATCCAAACTAGGCCCTTCAGTCAAGCTTAACAGAAGAAAACAGGTAGTGCACAAACCAGAATGAAGAAAGGAACCCAACGGCACCTGTTGCAAGCATTATTGCTAGAACCATGAAGAGTGAATATCCGAGGTAAAGGGTTGCAGATACAGGCCCACTCAAACTCTTAAGGTCAAATACTAGATAGTTGATGGAGTAAAGAAAGATGTAAATGGCAACAGATCCAGAAGCAAAGAAAGATTTCCACCACCATTTCCAGTCCTCAACACAAAGGTGCATGTAGGTAAGAACAAGTGATACCTCAGCACAAACCACAACCAAAAGGATCATAACAATGAAAAGGAACCCAAAGACGTAGTATACACCACCCATCCAGATACTGGACATGATGAAGAAGAGCTCAATGAAAAGTGTGCCAAATGGAAGGGTACCGGCCCCAAGGACCAAAAGCCAAGATGGATACTTTTGAGGAGGGATTTCTCGAGGGATTTGATTTGTTCGAACGGGGTATTCAATATGAGGTGCCTTTGCTCCAAAGTAACCACCAACAAGGGTAAGGGGAACCGAGATACAAAACCATAGCAAAATGAGTACGACAAACAAAGAAAAGGGAATAGCTCCTGTACTGTGACTACCCCATAGCAAGAAATTCAAAGTGGTTAGAATAAGGAAGGCGATGCCAGGGAAGAAACAAGCAACTCTCCACGATACAGAGACCCATCCCTTGTGATCTCCACAGAACATGGTCCTCCAAAGACGAGTAGCAACATAACCGGCTGCAATTCCAAGAATCATGTAGAAAAACAGCATACCAGTAATAAGTGTTCCACGGGATGCTGGAGACATAAATCCAAGGGCAGCAAACAAAATTGTCACGATTGCCATTCCAAGAATCTGAACTCCATCTCCAACCATCACACACAAGAGCGAGGGATTGCTCGGGGCACGGAAAACATCTCCAACAACGAGTTTCCATCCTGACAACTCCTCATTCATCTGGGCTTGAGCTTCCTTATCAAGCTCTTCATACTGAGCCAAATCTCGCCTAACTGTCCTCAAGAAAATCACAAGTACAATACCAGCTAAGAAAGTTATCACCATAAGCGAGTTTAGAATCGAGAACCAGTGCACTTTTGATCCTTCCATCTTCAAATATGCATCCCACCTTGAGGGCCACTTAATGTCACTCTCAACGAATGACACCTCATACGTAAAAGCCATTGGCTCATTCTCCTTGATATAACTGGTGACTGTAGTTGGATCACATTTAATCTGGGACGGGTATTTGTCATATATGTTCAAGTTCTTCACGGAATCGGTATTGTGCTGGACATTACAAGGTACCACCTCAAACCCAACAACCATGTAGCCAGGGGCATCTGATCCTGAGTTGCCAACAGTAGGGATCACCTCCGCTGCATCCCCAGTACCCATAACACGGGCAACATTGGCCTCTTCATATTTATGAACAAGGACAGTTAACTTCAAGTGATTAAATAAATAATAGGCATCCTGAACCTTGATACCAACTGGATAACCAGTGGACCGCAACAAATATTTATCCTTCTTAATATACCGAATTGCAGGCAAGTTATCAAGGATTAAATTCACCTGATACATCTCGTCAATTCTTTCCTTCAAAAGCTTAAATTCCTGACCAGATAAAGGCTTGG